TTGACCAGCCACCAAAAAGGAATTATTGAACTTGCCGGTTTTTCCAGCCACCGGTAAGGAGCCAAGTGCAGATATTGTCCCAGTTTGACCAGCCACCGGAAAGAAAGCAACCCACCCAATGTCATCTTCCTGGATCGGCGGTGGTTCAGGAGGGGGGCGATCGGCCTCTATATCGATGCAGAAGAAATCTTGATTCATGATTGATAAAGAAGCCAATACCAACCTCTTACTATCACACAAGAACACCCGACCGATGATGACGGGGAATATAGATCTGGCGAGCGACACTTCGCCACCAAAAATAATATCTCCAGACAACGCTAGGAAATAAACATATATATAGAACTGAAAATACTGATTAAACGAAATTTTTTCCATGATTGAAGTCAAAAGAAGAGAAGGAAGGAAGAGGAGGAGGCGGCTAGAGTTTCCCTTCGCCGCTCCTCTCTCTCCTCGTACTGCTCTTCTCTGTTTACATTCGTACACCTCATCTTTTATATAGTGTAGGTGTACACCTAGATACACCCTACATCAGAGTTCAAGATTTACCATTTTTATCTTACATCTCTCTTTCCCTTCTTCATTCATTCGTTTCACTCATCTTTGGTGATAGGAGTGGTCATAACGGTTTAGTTTAACCGAATCGAACCGTACCAAACCGAACTAAATCGAACCGAAATCGGACCGTATGCAATTTGGTTTGAGTTTGGTACTATTTTTTTCAAATCGTATTAAACCGAACCGAACCAAACCAAAACCAATAAAAACCGAACAAAACCGAACCGAACTAAAGAAACTAAAAAAAACTTTCATATATTATTAAAATTGGTTGTTTGATTTGGTTTGGTTTGGATTTACCTAAGTAAACCGTTTGGTAAACATTTGCTCAAACCGAATGATTTGGTAATTTGGTTTGGTTTGGTTTAAAACCGAAAAATCGTAAACCGAACTGAACACTGAACAACCGATACACACACACACACACTTTGTATTTATTTTCACTCTTCATTTTTAAGATATAAATAAATAATTTAGACATGAAAATACATATTTAAGCATATACTCGTATCATTTTAACTTTTACACATTTCATACATTCATTATGACAAAGTTAGCTAATACGACATATTTGTATTTATTATGTTTGGCGATAACAATAGCAAATTTCATTTGTATTTTTACATGATTCATTTGAATAAAATTGTGAATATTACAACATTTGTATCTCCGACTCTTTTAGATTTTTTTGAATATTTTATGTGATATTATAAATGCTGATCAACTATTTTATTTTTTGTAAGAAGTGAATTTTTTGTAGTGATAAAAAGGATGTTAGAAGTTTTAAGTTATAATATTTTATTATTTATTATTCTATCTTTTATTTCCTTTTACATTTTATTTAAATAATCGATAAATTAAAACAAGATGAGATGGACTACTACTTTCATTTTCTAATTCTAAAATATAGAACTTGATCTAATAAAATAATAAACATAAGCAAACGAATCAAATCAAACTAAATTAAACATAATATTTTTTACTTTGGTAAACCGAACTTCAAACCGAAACCAAACCGAAACCAAACCGAAACACAAATGGTTTTAGTTTGGTACAAATTCTCCCAACCCAAATAAACCGAAACTGAACCTAAATCGAAGAAAACCGAACCGTAAACCAAATTGCCCACCCCTTCTAGCTTTTGTATTATTTAAAATATTTAAAAGTTTTGAATTGGATGTTGACATGACAATTTTTAAGAGTTTTTTAAAAAATAAAAGATATTATTTGAGATGTTACAGTGAGTAGCATATGAGAAAAGTCGATAACTTTAAGCATTAATTAATTCCACCAGCTTATATGTCCACAGAACTAAATCAGACATTCATCTTTTTTCTCAAACAACGATCACATTTATTTTTCTAATTTTTTCAAACACTAAAAACTAACAATTACTTAAATGTTTATAAAAATATATTTTTCGACTAGTTGTACCAAACATACCCTCAATAGAATTGTTCTATGTAAGACCAAAAATAACTAAAAAAGCACAAATAGGACCACTACTTTTTTACCATCCAAAATAGGAGTAAACAAATTCAGCATACCCAAAATGCCCCTAAGGGTATTATTTCATACTAACATGTTATAATGCATAATAAAATCTTAAAAAATAGTAAAAAATCGTAAAAGTTTTTAAAAAATCGTACAACAATAATAAATAAAAATAAAAGTACATTTTTATAAAAAATAATTTTTTTTTTGATTTTTTTTAAATTATTAAAAAATAGTAAAAAATCATAAAACAATTTTAAAAAATGGAAACCTTTCCCACCGCCTCCCAGAACCACCACCTTCAATCGGTAAAAATTATGCCACTTTTTATGATAAAAAAATCCATTTTTTTCCGAAAATGCCAAGAAAATAGCATAATTACTCTTCATAATGCCAAAAATCTCATTGAGTCTGCCATTATTATGGCATTACTAGAATTGTTGGCAGATTTCTTTTTTTGATTTTTTTGAAAAAACTAATAAAAAAAAGTAAAAACCCATAAAAAAATAAAAAAGGATAAATCCGATTAGTACAGATTCTGCCATTATTTGTAAAAAATGTCAATGTTTTCTGAAAATGCAAAGAAAATGGAATTTTTACTCATCATAATGCCAAAATTATCATTGATTCTGCCATTATTATGGCATTACTACGAATTTTGGCAGATTTCCAACCAGTGATGGGAGGTGGTGGTGCTGGGGGTGGCAGAGGCGGCGGCATTTTTTTTGCATTTGTAATTTTTTTTATATTTTTTTTTTGTAAAAAAAATTAAAAAAAAATTTTATTAATATTTTATAAAATTTTTAATAATTTTTGACGTTTTTATTATTCTTTTACGTTTTTATTATTTTTTATGAATTTATTATTAATTAAGACCTTTCAAAAGCCTCAAGGGCATATCTGTCCAAATACACATAAAATAGTCCTACTAGATGGAAGAAAAAACATGTAGTCCTATTTGTACTCTTGGGTCACTTTTTTTTACCTATATAGGGAATTAACTCATTTGCAAATCAATGGAAACTATAAATAAGACTAGATATATTCCAATTTTATTCAAAACTGAACAGGTTTAACCGATTCAAAATCAGTACCAAAGCGTAGGCATGTACTTGGGCCGGGCCGGGCCGATCCCAGTGGGCTTTTTTCTGCAACACTTTGGCCCGGTACCAGCCAAGTTTGTGCCGATATCGGTTCCGGTCCAGGCTACCCGGGCTGGCCTCGGTCTGGTCCCAGGTCGAGCCGGGCACATCCTTTGGGGTAGTTTTTTTTTTTAAATTATTTCAAACACACTTTTTTTTTGAAATTGTGACCGTTAGGACCGGGCCGGGCCAGGCCACCAAAATAGGAGCCCGAAGCCCGCCTCCCTTCTCCACTGGGCCGGATATTAGGTCAATACCGGTCTCGGGTAACCAGACTTGGGCCCATACTGGTACAAACAGTGCCGGTCCCGAGTCGGGCCGGGCCGGTGCAGTATAGAAATTATTACCTTTTTTCTATAAAAAAATAAAACTTATATTCTGATAAGACTGCAACATTTTTTATTAATATTATTTTTAATTATAATTGTTGTTTATTTTCATTAACTTTAGAGAGCAAAGATTAGCACAACTCAAGTACAGAATAGTTACTATTGATTACTACTGATACGGAGTATTATTATTATTATATTATTACTTTATAACTATTACGGAGTATTATAATGTTAGGAGTAATTTATCTACTTAAAATATGCCAAAATCAGTTAACTCCGATTTAAACTGGCACATGACTAAAACCAAAGTCGCAATATTTCAGAATCCAAAACCGTAGTGGATATCATTTCAGTTGGGTTCGGTTTTTCCAGTTTGGCTCATTCTGGACCACAATGAAGATTAGCTAATTGATTTTGCTTGGAAGCGTTTGTATTAAAAAATTCCACTTGGTTCTCACATTCTACGAACAGCCTTTGCTCACAACATTCGATGGCGCGAAGATTTAATAGGTACGTTAATTGTAGAAATATCCTTATTTACATTTGTGAAAGGGTTAAAACTACTTTCATGGAACTCTCACTCGTCCTTAAAATATTTTCAACCCACCATAAATTACTAATCTTCCTTCTAAGGGTCCGTTTGGATAAGCAGCGGGAGCATCAATCCGCTGATTCTTTTATACATGAAAACGCCGCTAAAAGCAGCGGGATGGTGCCGATCCGCTGAAAACCAAACAGCACCTAAGAAAGAACTGAATATTCTGAATACATTACGTATCTATTTATTCTAATTATTATGCCTTACCAGACAATGCTATCACCCACTAGAATAGTAGAACGACTAACAAAATGAAACGCATAAATAATACGATAGTAAAATAAAACACGTAAATGAGTACAATTCAAATTTTACAGATCAGGATGTACCATTCCCATGGCTTGTGTCATGCTTAGTGGTGGACTCGGGCCGGGCGGCCTGGCCCGGTTACTGTTTGGCCCGGCCCGGCCCGGCCCAGGGCCCGGTGGGTCCACCGGTTCGGTTCGGCCCGGCCCGGCTGATGGGCGGTTCGGGCTCGGGCCCAGTTTTTGGTGAACCGGCCCGGCCGGTTCGGGCCCAGTTCGGGCCGGTTTTTAATTTTTTTTTTTTTGAATTTTTTTTAAGTTTTGGGTTGGATTAGGTATTTTGGGCCATTTGAGATGGTTTGGGGTGGTTTGGGGTTGAGGGGGAGGGGTTGGGGGTTAAATAGAAGAGCCAAAAAAAAAAAAATAGAACCGGTTAGGCCCGGCCCGGTTTGGCCCGGAACCGGAACCCGAACCGCCCACCGGCGGTTCGGGCTCGGGCCCAACTTTCCTGGCCCGAGGCCCGGCCGGGCCCAGGCCCGAACCAGGCCCGAACCGGCCCGAGTCCACCACTAGTCATGCTTGTGAAAGAATTAAACACCAACATCGGTTTAGAATATATATTTTAAAAAACATTGCCTATTTAATGTGTCTAAAAAGTAGAATAAAAGCATTAGGACAAATTATAATCTCAAGTTCCCATACCCAATAGCGTCACATGATTGTAAGTACTCTCCAGTCTCCATTCTATTTAGATTATATGCATTAAAAAATCAAATGCGGACTAAAACCGGCATTACATGTAGGAAGTCCCTACGGAGCCCAGTTGTACCATTCCATGTATAACTTATAACTTCAAATTTGACATATCACTACCACCTATAGATGGAAAACACTTGGGAAGGATAAGAAAAAAGTCACCAGAAAATTTCCGGCTCAAACCAGTAGAGTACAACATAATTCACTGGTTGAGGAAGATTGCAGTCGGAATGCCTGGTGACGGAGGATTTTGAGTCAAAAGCGATGCATGAGATCCAGCCCTTTCAACATCACTTGGGTTCGAGGCAGACAATATCTCTATTGTTTCTAGCCCAAGTTGTCTTTTTATCAAGCCTGAGTTAGTCTTGAGGACCTCAATCTCGCCAAAGGGAAGTCTTAGATCCAACGCCCCAACCCCTACTGTCATAACCTCGTCCTTCTTGAATCTAAGGAAAGGCATGCATTTCATCTGTATTTTCTTGAAATCGCCCTTTTTTGCAACCTCACATTGCTGTAATTCTGACAGGATTTCTTTATCAGGTGCAAATGTGCGAGAATCAATGTTGAATTTCCTCCTCAGTATGTTCAAACATTCCATTTTCCATCCATCGTATTCCTCATTAACATATATCAAACCAACCATGGGTTTATTTTTATGGACGGGGTTCGCATTTTTCTTCGAGCCGCCAGACAACTGCTTCTGCAGGAGCTTCCTCATTGATATGATCGAATCTTGCAAATATGTGTTTGCCATTTTGAGGGTTAGGTTGGGCAATTCCGCTTTCGGCCATCCAGATTTCACGCAAAACCCGTCTTTCTTCAAAAGCTCCTTCCATACATGTTCGGCGTAATGAGGGCAGATTGGAGCAATGAGCCGGGTTTGAACGTCCATGAACCTCAATAACAGATCAAGATTCATTCCTGCCGAACCGCATGAAAGTCGGTATTCATCCCTGGCAGCTTGAAGATCATAGAAACCTGTCTTCAAAGCTTCCCTAAACAAATAATTGCTGTAGCTCTTTTCTGTTGTTTTCACTGCAATGTTCATTTCATTGTCAAACACCTGATCAGCAAATGTGGGCGGTCCTGATTCACGTCTTCTAAAAGATGAATCTTCATCAGCAAGAACATCCTTCATCCAAGCAATTTCTTTCGTAAGACGTAAGATTGCGGCATTGGCCGTCTCGAAGACAAAGTTTGCATCGTCCATTCCGTCACCCGCATCGGCGAGTGAGAATCGTGTGGCGTCTGCTGAAAACTCTTTGATGGCCTCGCGGAGAGTCCGGAAGTTTCCGGTGGACTTTGACATTTTCTGGGAGTTGAGCATGATATGTCCGTTACACCTGAATCCGCGTGGCCAGTGGTGCTTAGGGAAGATGGCAGCATGGCTATAGATACAAAAGGTGAGATGATTTTGAATAAGATCTTTTCCAGAAACTCTGAGGTCAAATGGGTACCAATACCCAAATTCCCTCTTCATCTTCTCAAGGAGAGCAGATGATATACCACAGGTATTAGGATATGAACCACCACAAAACAAGAAATCCCAAACATCGTCCGTTAACTGCTCAGGTTTGATTGAGGAGTGGTCATTGCCATACATATCTCCTTTCTGCAAATGATGACATATAGTGTAATATGCCATATAAATGGTGGAATCGGACAAAGATTCAACCAAAAACTGTTCATCCCAAGGAATGCGGGAACCCAGCCCAAAATTACGCGAACAAGCCCACTGGTTAAGCCAGCTTAATGTGTGCTCGAAACCATGACGAGTCTCATCGGAGTATAGATTCATACGGGTTAAGCACTCCTCAGCTTGATTCCTCCACTCGGGTTCGCCATAAATGATATACCACTGGTCAGTCAAAGCCACAACGCACTCATCCCCGGATCTTGAAACCACCTTTTTCTCAGGCTCACTGTACACAACAGCGAGATTCATTTCCAAAAGCTTTCTTCTGATCAGACTTTTAGCTTCTTGAACTCTCATTCCAGAAAACTCTCCTGCAATCATGGTCCCCTCATAAAACCCACCCTTGTAGATCAATTTCTTAGCCTCGTCGAGCTTTTCTCGCTCATTCTGACTCTTGATTTTTTTCTCGATGCAAATTCTCTCAGCTGACTTGTCCCCAAAATCTGGGTGGTTGATGATGGGGACTATCTCAAAGGGCAAGACCCATTCATCTTTGACACCGAATTTGTCCCTGAAGGCCAGTTTAGACTTCAAGTCATGAAGCGCCATGTAATCATCAGGTGAGTCACTGGGGACACTGGTCACTATACCTGTACCCTTTTCGGTAAGAACAGAGAGCATTGGGAGAGTGTATATGACCTCATTGAAGGCTAAAGGAGAACGAAGGGGCAAACCAATGAGATCTTGACCAGTGAACTCAACCAAAAAAGTTGGCTCCTCTGGTTTGAGAGACAACCTTTGAAATGCCAAGTTTCGGGCAGCCCGATAGGTCAAGATGAAAACATCTGTATCATTGATCTCATAGGCACCGTACTTTCCATCCGGCAATACCCAAGCATTTGTTTGACCATACATTGTCTCTGGCCTTAATGTGGCTGCAGCAAGGTAAACTTTTCTACCTTCTAGAACATTACCAATTTTTGGTGAGAAAGGTGGAATAACCTCCATCTTTATAAGAGTGTATTCTTGAGGAATAACTCCTTCCCCAGAAGCCCGGTCATGATCCGCGCATGGCTGCCCATCTTTGGGAGAATAGATGGCATGTCTAAGGTCTTTAACAATCTTTCCCAATGAAATCAATTTCCTCATTTGCCACCGGACGAAGGAATCAAAATACGGATTCATGTCAGTCGTGATGAACGAACGACGCCAATCACAACCCAGACCAAATGACTTCAAGTCCTCCACGGCGAGAGGTGGGAAAAACAACAGCCAGTGATACGGATCAGTAAACTTAGCAATCTCCTCATCAGACAGACCATAACTCCTCATGATCTCCCACTGGAATTTAGTAGCACCTGTCTTGGAAATGGCTTTTGACTTCTTACCTTTGAATTTTCCACCCTCTCCCTTCACTTCTAAATCACCATCTTTTTCATCTTCTTCTTGTGGAAAAGGAAACTGTGGTGGATTCCCGAACATTTCCATCTCATTCAAAAGCTTATCTGAAGACGCTTTTATAGGCATCCCTGTGCAGTGAAATCCAAATGGCAAAAGCACATTATCTCCCCTCAATCTATGATATGCGGCGGCAAACTCAAGTTTAGACAGAGAAAATGCATGTCCGAGATGGAGATATCCATTCATATACGGGAAAGGAAAGTTCCCAAAGAACTTCTCACCCGGCAAAGGAGGGGAATCTTTGGGGTCTGCCCTGAAAACGTCACCCTCTTCCCACATCTTCTGAACCTCTGACTCTATTTCCAACAGCTTGTCCCTTCGCGCATAACTTTTGCCACTTTCTTCTGCCATATTTTCCCCACTGGCAATCTCACAGAAACTCCTAAATAACATCCATTGAACAAAAAGTTCACCATGAGCTGAAACGGATAATATACGCTATGAATGATAGGATATTTTTACTTGGATTGTTTTCAGTCCCAGACCAGACTTGGATAGTTATAAAATACACATACATTTACCGGACCAGGCCAGTTCAGACCATACCAGAAAATTTCAGTCCAATTAAAAACATCTTAATATTACTTAACACCTATTATTAGTGCAACATACAAACACACCATTAACCTTAAGTCCTTAATACATATGAAGATTAAAGAGAAAATAATCATGAAACCTTCGCATTCATATGTTGCACAGGAGAACACGGAGTATAGGTTTAACCGTTCAACACCTTACACCGTTCATTCCAAGAGCAAGTGGAATTGTGGAAACACGAAAATTAAAAACAAAATGAGGGTTTTCACATTTTGATAATATATGGTGATAAAAGTGAGGTTTAATCAACAAACCTAAGACCAGAGAGATTGATCGAATGCTTTGGACGAAAAAAGCACCTTAGAAGATGATAAACCGCCACGATGTACAAGGCCACCTGGCAAAAATATATTGCTCAAGGATTAGTGTGAAATTGAACACTTTTAGGTATCTGCAGTAGAACAATGCTGAGTGACACATGCTTTTCAAGTAATCTTTGAACACCTATTACTATAAGCAAAAGAAAACTTGGAATGCAAGCTCTTCCCTTGAAGCTGACTTGCACCTCAGTTTATCGTGAGGATTACAATTCCATTATATACATTATTGATTTCACTTTGTATATGTTCAAGTTAGAAATTTAATTTACTCAGGATGACCTTTTAAATTTGTATACCTAAAGTCAAGCCTAAAAATATTCTTTCATTTCATCTCCTGGATCTTCAAACTCAAGCAAACTATCTTCACGAGAAATTGAAGTTGGATCAAATTTTCATTAACATTTTGGAAAAAAAACTTTATGGAAAGACACCACATTAATCTTCCATAGTATTTTAGAAGCTCTAATTCCAGCTGACCAGCTTTATATATACCCATTTGACGCAGCACTTGCAACCCAGTAATTCGTGATTAAAACTTTGATGAAGATAAACACAACACAACACCCACAGTAGCGGGAGATGTCGGCCATCACAGCCAGTTCAAATGAACAATAAAGTTCTTCAAACCTGCCTGCAATAAGAAGGTTTGGTGGTGGTGACCTGATGGTGATGTCCTCAGAGCCGTCTGCAATAAGACATTCTTGATGGGATATGCAACTTATTCCAGGAAAAAGAAGTTGAAAAATTCTTGATTTAGATATAATATCAAATAAATATGTTCATAATTCTTATTTAAGATTTCTACTGTAATTTTATCCATGCTCCGCTTGTACTGTGTTGGGATGTCTAGGGTTTGTATATACTCTACCATCATTCATTCATTAGTGCAAATCAAAATACATAGTGCGTACATTCAGGTGCAGATCTAGCATTTGAATTGAGCTTTGGCCAAACATTTAAAACTTATAAAATAACTTCAATAGCAACAAGGTAAAATACAAAAAGAAATTTTTATGAATATTTTACAATAGAATTTTTTATAAAGAATCACAAATTCAACTCTACCACAAACCACAACGTCAGAGGATAAATTTTATAATATTAAAAAGATCCTCAAAAGTGACTATCATATTAAAAACAAGAGGGTTAATATTTAAATACTATTTTTAAATTTAGTTAAACAAGTTACCAACCACATTGTTGTGATAATGAGATTTGGTATATTTCAATCATTGATGTTCAGAAACTCTTTAGAAACATTTATGGTCATCCAATTTCTCGGTGAAGTAATAGAAATTTGAGAATATGCTTATCAGACAAAAATGATACTAATGGCCCCTGTTAGCAACAAGAATGCTTTCAATTTATAAAAAGTTGCTAACAGAGCTGTATTTTAAAAACACATATCAATATATTAATCATATCACCATCTTTGCAATACAAGTTGAAAACAGTGCACAACTAAGGTATTTGTAACAGTATTTCAGTAACTATCCTTGCACATCAAAGAGAAACTTAAGCTCTTGTTATAAGCTCTAACCCAATCTAGTTGTTAACAAAATAACCTGAACCAGATGTTATCACTTCTTCTCATCGGAAGTTCGGTTAAAAATAATGAACCGAACAAGTGTTTACAACAAGACAGAAATTAAAAAAATATGATTTAATTCAAAATTATAAAATGAGGACATAACATTGAAGTGAAAATTAATAAAAAAGATAAAGACCTGAAGTAGGAATGATCGATTAAAGAAGGGTGTGCAGATTTTTTACAATTCTTTTGTTCTTAAATTTCATAGTTCAAATTTCAGAAAACTACAATTTGTTCTTTTCAGTTGATAATTGTTTCTGAAATTTTCTGTAACACATAACATAAATATTCACTAACTGAATCTGAAATCTATTCTATTTAAACAAAATCCGAAATTTAATTTTTAATTTAGTTCACCTAGCTGAGTAGTAAGTCTGAAAGACAGCAACCGGAGTTTTTTCAAGCGTTCAGGTGCAGCAGACAACGTAGCAGAGGGTTACGCCGTTGAGGGCGACGGGCGGGCGGGCGGGCGGCGACAGACCTACGGGAGATGAGGGAAGAGATGGTCGGTCAATGGTGGCGATGTGTCGATCAGCCAGACCGACGGGAGCGTTAACCATTAGGCATTAGCGGAAAACCATTTTAAAGCGATTGGGCCTTTGGACAGTTGGACGAGCAGTGGCCATGTTACAAGTATCAGCCCGCATCTTCTCCAGGCCTGGTTTGTACACAGAACCGGGGCCGAGGGCCGGTTTGTACTAATGGCTACAAATAAGTACTACCTCCGTTCCATTTCATGCATCTCATTGGTTTTAACACACTTTTTAATAAAGTTGTTGAAAATGTAAAAGTTGTAGTCAAAATTTGAGTATAATAAAATGAAAATGATGTGAACCACATATTTCTTTCTAAAAAGGAAATGTGACACTTATTTTGAGACAACCCAAAAAGGAAAGTAACACAGTTAAAATGGGACGAATGGAGTAATTAATAAGATACAGACTAGTTGATATGAAGAGCTAACACAATTGTTTAAGAAAAGTGATTTTACGTGATTGATATTGAAATGATAAAATAAGAGTAAAGTAAAAATGATTTAGGATGTTTTTACTTGGACTGTAATTTCTCCCAGATCAGACCAGACCAGATCAGACTAGCAAATTACAGTCCAAGTAAAAACATCCTTAGAACCACACAAATTTTACCAATTTTTTTAATTTAGTATGACACAATTTTATTCAGAAGAGCCAAAAAGAAAATACGAAACAATCTTTGAGGGGCGGATGAATTATAAGAGTAACATTATACGAAGTACGAAGTATAAAATAATGATAAATATACGAATAATTTAAAATAATGAATACAAATGACATTTTAATTAGTGAGCATAGTAATAATTGTAAAGAACATGTCATATTCAATTTTACACTACAAACTACAATGATCATGTATGCACTTGGTTAACATTTCTTTTACACCCGTCAATATAGAAATAATGATTGTGTAACATTTTCTCCACGGTTTGAAGTTTGTCCTACTATTTTTGGAAAAGTATCATGTACAGAACACTATAAAAGAAATGTTAACCAAGTGTATATATGTTACTTAATAATCCCTCCATCAAGATTTCCATGGTATACACGATAAGTTAATTATCTTTTGTCTGTGGGTAGCCTATTAAAAAACAAACAGGCTTATTCACATTTCACAAACAAAACATAACATATTCACTCACAGCGACTACAATCTGATGTGTACAACAGTTTTTTAGGGAAAATTCTTAAAATAGGAGTAAAAAAATTCAAAAATTTCAAAATAGGACTGTTATGACTAAAAACGTTTATATGTTTCAAAATAGTATTGTCATGTTTTGTATGGGCACCTGTAAAGCTAGGTATTGGATAGAGCATTCTTGAAGTTGCTTGACAGTATCGTCTTCTTCGTCCGCATCCATTTGGTGGAGCGATGGCCCTGACAGAGTCGGATTGGGCTTCGGCTCTTGCGCCATCTTTGCCGATACAATCAATTCTGAGCTGCTCTATTGGGCGAAGACTTAAAAGTTGGAGTCTTTTTGTTTTCAACGATTCAACCCTGAGAACTAATCCGTAAGAAAGTTGGACGAAATGGCAAAACAAAATTTAAACATTCGATATAGGGTATGCTTATGTCGCGGCATACCGGCGTAGGCGACTTGGTCGATCGACGATCGTCTCTGGTCGGCTCTGTAATATCGTTTGACGTTTTCAAAAGTCCTGAAGTTTGTGTATACACGATAAGTTATTAATTATTTTTTGTTTGTGGGTATCCTGTTAAAAAACAAGCAGGCTTATTCACAAACAAAACATAACATGTTCACCCACGACACCTACAATCTGGTGTGTACAACCCGTTTTTTCTTAAAAGTATACTCTCTCTGCCTGATTGAATTGTGCACATATTAATAAAATATTTTTTTCTCTAAATCCCTGAAATGCCCCTTTTACTGAAAAGTAAATTTTATTGTAGAAAACAGTATTACATTATTTTGACAATGGCTTATTCACAAACAAAACATAACATGTTCACCCACGGCGCCTACAAACTGGTAAGTACAAACCGTTTTTCTTAAAAGCGTTCTCTCTCTCCGATTGAATTGCACACTTATTAAGAAAACAATTTTTCTCTAAATCCCTGAAATGCCCCTTTTATTGAAAAGTAAATTTTATTATAAAGCACAGTATCACACTATTTTGACAGTGATTAACATTATTTAATACCTTTGCACTGCATTGTCATTATTATTTAAGGTTGGTAGAATAAATTATTGATACTGTAGTATAACTTTTTTTTCAAATAGAAATGGGGATTTTATTAATTTTAGTATATATCGTTTTTCTTAAAAGTGTTTGTGGGTAAATTATTTTTTATCGTTACGGATAAGTTATTAATTATAACTTATCAAGAAAAAATACATTTTTTCTTTAACATGAACTACCACTTTACAAAGAGGTAAATTTATTATAAAGTACATTGTTTTACACTGCAATGTCATTGTTATTAAGGTTAGTAGAGTAAATTGATATGAATCCATTTAATAAACAATGAAGGAATATGTTATTATAAATATAAAAAACATCTACTTTTAATACTCCGTACTGTTTTGACATCTAGTAATAATAAAAAATGTTCTGTGAGGGGTGGTTGAAGTATATAAGATTTTTTTATAATGTGATTTTGTAGTATATTAAAACAAAGTCGACTAGGTGAGCCTGTATAGATATTTAGAAATGAAGGCAGCAAGTGCTTAATAAATTTAATGTGATTATGTGATAGAGAATGTTTTTGCTTGAATTTTTTTCATGGTTAGATATCAGATAAGACTTATATAAACTAGACTAGATCCAATTAGGTTTAAACAGATAAGAACAAACTTCAATAGTTGCAAAATACACAAAGACCAAATATCTATTAGACCAAATCGGGTTAGACCAGATCAGACTAGACTTAAAATCTCACACCAGACTAGCCCAGACCACAAAATTTCAGTCCAATGAAAAGCATCGATATCATGAAAGGTTAAAACATGCTACTATACCTTTGTCTCGGAAGGGTTTGTCATATGACTTTTTTTGGGCAATGATGACAAACTTTGAGTAATGATTTTAATTATTATATTTGTATATAATTCATAAATTTTACTTTTAATGATGAAAACATTTAATATAATTTTCGTATTAAAAAATATCATTGCTCAAAATTAATTACCATTGGCCATGAAAAGTCAATTTGCCAAACCTTTTTGGGATATAGATAGTATTTTTAGGAGATATATTTATGAAATAATTCTTAATATATGATCAAAATATGGGCAGTGGACAAAGTTGTGATTTAGAAACTTTAGTGAATATATTGTATTTGAATTGTACATCATACTATTAGTTAGTTAGTCATTCTTCCCGATATAGTGTATTCTCATATACCCCATGGGTATCATCATAATTGACGGTCAAATACTTCAAGTTATATCAACATTTAGTACGAAGTTTCACCCGAGGCTGACCTCGACGCCCGAGGTCAGGTCGCAACCCAAACCACAAATCAACAAAGTATGGTACCCCAGCCGAGGCCGACATCGAGCTCACCGAGGTCGGCGCAACAATTATGGCAATGTACTATATTACTATTTGTGCATTTTATTTATATTTTACTCTTATTTAAAGATTTTTCTCCAATACTAGCTAGGGATAAGCTAGGCTACCAAATTCGATCATGTTTGTGTGTATATTTAACGTCCAAGTTACAAAGCATTTTAATTCTTGATAGAAGCTATGAAGCTAATATTAGAGAAGATACAAAGGGGACAGTTTGGAGTAATACTCCCTATATGGAGTAACTTTTAAACCCCGTACGGGATATAAAATGCTGCTAGCAAGCAGCTCTATGCCTCTATCTACCCTAAGGCGAGGTTGATATACCTTTTCTAATTCCGACCGTCCACATAATATATCTTATTTTCCTAATTGACAATCATTATTTATTCCACTGCCTCATGAGTATAAATATATCAATAGTTCCAAAGGCTCTCGGCTCCGGTAATTACCGACATATCATCCGGCGGCGGAGACGACGTCATCCTCGGTGGGCTCACCATCATTCCCCCGGCCATGTCCACCAACAAATTGTGCATGTCGAACAACTCTTCTTCATCAATGTACTCCGCGTCATACGTCTGCTCACAACTTCTTTCTAGTCGTCGAGCCGCCCCACATTCGCTCCCTTCCGGTTTCATCATGCTGGCAGCGAGTGCGGCGGCTCGCCTTATTTCTGCCCCGTCAGAGGAAGCGGGGACGGGATAGCTCCCGGCATACGCCGGGAAGTTGAGCACTGCGTCACTGCTCCTCAAGGCAAGCGCAGCGGCATCGTATGCCGCTGCTGCCATCTCGGGGGTCGGGTAAGTCCCCAACCAAATCCGAGTGGTCTTCCGCGGCTCGCGAATCTCCGATACCCATTTCCCACTCCGGCTTCTCACTCCACGGTACTTTGAGTGCTTCCCGCTTCCTCCGCGGCTTGACGATGGCCCCATCTCCGATGTTGTTTTTGCTTGCGGTTGTTCTCGGTACTCGGGCAGCCTTCTTACAAATGGTGTTGGACTAAGATGTGATGCATGTAGTTGGTGAGGTAGGTAAAATGGTGTTTGATTAAAGTGTGAAGCTATGTTGAATTGTGAGTTAGGGTCATCCATGGACTATGAGAGCTAAGAGATATATATGAGATGGATAGTGTGTGTGGATCAATGTGGTGTCCGTGTGTAAGAATTTATACATATGTGTATGTATGCACAGGCCAGGAGAAGAATTAATGGAGGATGAAAGTTAAACCGTGGGCAAGTCGTGGTTTGACTTATGAGTTAATTATCAGTGTTAGGGTTTTGTGGGGGGTTTTCTTAGATTGACCGGCCTGAAAATGACATATGATTCATATGGGGAATCGACACAAATCTGTTCATAGTTTTTTTTTCTCTATATTTGGTCGAATCCATTTTGTAATGTCACCAACATATCAAACATGGATATGGGTGCCATGTGGTCGTGTACAATGTCCATAGAACTCAACGTTTAAATTTTAAGGAACTTGCTTCGTTTTAATACATCGTGGCCGGGCACAACTATTAAATGCTTGCGAAGTTTCCCTCTTAGATTGTCAAATGTCTAATATCAACGCTTCTTACTTAGACTATAATCTGTTCTAGACAAGATCAGATCAGATCAGACCAGATCAACAAATTACAATCCAATTATAAACATCTTAATTTGACATTTACCAGATCATACAAGTCATATCAGTTCAAACTAGACAAACAAATTCTAGTTCAAGTAAAAACATTATAATTAAGCGGAGCCAGAACCATGGGCAGAGCCAGAAAAATGACTCAGCGGGGTCGAAATCAAATTTACATAGAATCAAAACGGTAGATTATTTTTAGACCATACTCGAATTGAATGCAGCTTAGATAAATGATAGTTTAAATGAAACTAATAGAGTATATGTAGTTAATATACTTCGTATCTGTCACATATATTATAAACATGTTTTTATACGGGTTGAGTTGAGTACCTCGGGTGAGACTCATTGTCTTACCCTAGTACTTTATGGTTCTCTTTGATCTTACTCGGTTTAGTATCAAGATTTCTTACTAGAAAAAAATCATTTATTGAGTAGACACTCGTAGCAGTAAGATATGTTGCATTTGCTTTGTCCCTAAGTCATGTCACGTAAGTAACGAGTGAATTACACGCTATTTTGTGAATATAATTAATATTACGCGTCACAGTTTTACTAATTTCAAACTTAAATAATGCTGATTTTGCAGAATTCATAACTTTTTACTCGTAATGAGTTACGAGAGCCATAATATATCAAATCCAAGATATTTCAGAGCTCTACACTCTTAAATTTTTAGCGGGGTCGGCTGACCACCCTGACCCCCAGTAGCTCCATCACTGGCCAGAACACTGGGTCTGATTGGACTGACACAAAGAATTTTTTGAAAATTGTTTACACGAAATCTTCATGCATGCTTTCGCTTAAGCTATTTTTGAAATAACAAACGCACACTAAAAAAGAAAATTCCCAACAATGTTGCTATAAAACATGTTTTGGTGCAATTATATACGAAGTATGTGTTTACTAAAGTGATGCACGCTCATTAGTATCATGGTACAATATGCACGGTGTACATGTGTCATGAGAGAGAGATATACAAAAAAATCTTTGACATTTCCCTCTTCTATCCCATGAATAAGGTTTAGTCACTTCAATCTACGTCTAGTCATTCTTCTTGACATTGTGGGAAAACTACCAAAAATATTTAAGACCGTTCAAATAAGTAGAGAAATATTTTTCCCATTTATATTTGTGTGTCTATCACTCGCATCTCACATGTGCACCGAGCGCATTGTGATATTGTAGATGCTCTAAAGTGATCTATACATGCTACGGTCCACATTCACACATTTTCATTCTAATATTTCTTCATGCCAATCAGGTTTAGTGACTTCAATCTTCATGTAATTTTAGTATTTTGTTATCAACGATTCAACCAAGTCATACGGTAGAAAAAATATGTAGTCATACATGCATTAGGAAAAACACATACAGAGTATGACACATCTTTTAGTAATAATATAGGAGTTCCAAACTAAAATTCACTACCGAGTATTTGATTTACAAATTATTGTCTGTACTCTGCTCTGTAGTAGTGTAGTTGGATAAAAATAACCTGAACTAGAAGTTGAGTGAATGAAGTCGACTCTTTTGACTACGCGGTAACGCGGCTAATTAATAATGACAAAAATTGTAAAATTATCATAAAAACAAATGTTTTGATAGAAACGGGGTAATAAAGTACTTCAACAGCGGAAGGCTAAAATTAACATAACTTGCTTTGTATTAAAAACATTCTTTGAGCTGAAATGGTTGTACAAATATAGCCTTAGACTAAATTAAAACTCAAACTAAACCATTTCATATCAAATTAGATCGGAATATAACTAAACAAATCATATCTGACTAGAACATACTTAAAGAGACCATATCATGTTAGATCATACTTAAAAAGACCAGATTAAACTTAGACAATAGTAAATATATAGAGTATATACCAGACCTTCACAAGACCAATTCATAACTGACTAAACCTTGAAAAGTTCCTGAAATAGGAGTAAATAGGTTTTGTAATTCTAAAATACAATTGTTATGTTTTTCTTCCCAAAATAGGAGTAACGTGATACTCCCTCCGTCCCATTTATATTGTCCCACTTTACCTTTTCAAGAAGTCTCACTTAAATTGTCTCATACCATATTTGACAAAGTTTGTGTGGCTCTAAATCATTCTTACTTTATTCTTACTTTATTCTCATGATTGCAGTATTAGATATTAATATGGCAGTACATACTCGCATTAATGACAATTTCTTTTCAATTATGGTAGTAACGACTCCTATTCCAAAAAGAAAAACATAATAACCCAGTTTTCGAATTGCAAACCCTTTTTACTTCTATTTAGGGCAATTTTTCACTAAACTTAAATAGACACACCAAACTTAAATAGATTATACTAGTCAGGGCTTGATAAACAAATCATTATAAATGAAACCATCTTAGACTTATTGGCTTATTTAATCTTGTACTTCAAATTTGATTCTATTACCAGTTCGATAATTATCTTTACTTTACTGAGGACAGACAGATCATATCAGGCCAGCTTAACGGGAATTGCCGTCAGGCCGAGGTCATTTGAGGTCCTTGTCGGTGGAATTTTTGGATGATTTTTTTTTGAGTTTCTCATCAAATCTAGTTTGTTCATACCAAATTTCAGCTAAAAACTAAATCAGGAAGGCAGTTAAATAAATTCTCTACCAAAACTGCGTTGTTTATGTATATATAAAGTGCAGTTTTTGTAGATAACTTATTTGACTGTCTTCACGATTGAATTTTTAAAATTTTCAGAATATATTCATTATAACACATCAAATTTTACTCATATCAAGTTTAGATGATATTGATTTTCTGAGTCATGCACTACAAGAAAAATTAATTTTAAGGACCAAGATATGACGATGACTCTCAAAATTCGTCGTTAAATGTATCTTTTAACATCAACCAATGAGTTGCTCGTTATTAAATTTATCTTTAACGACCATGTTTGAAAAGTTGTCAATATTAATCAATATGCAATCGTCGTTGTTATTACTGATTAGTTTGCTTTTGATATAATTTTTTTAAAATAATTCGTTAAAAAGAACTAATCTGAATACTAATAAGTATAATTAAAAATTAAGGGAAAATGGAAACTAATAATCCAACATTTTAGCAGTCTTCTTACAACAGTCCCACCTTTTCATTATTCAAGAATAATACAACCTTTGCACCCCATCTTCATTCGCTGGTCCATGACCGGTTAATGACCTGCTATTCCAAGTTATTTTCTTATCTTTGCAAAATATTATCTTTGTGAAATGTGAGATTTATGGTATAATGGTTTGCAAAGATAAGAAAATAACTTGGAATAGCAGGTCATCAACCGGTAAGGGGCCAGTGAATGAAGATGATGTGCAAATGTTGGATTATTCATGAATAACGAAAAGGTGGGACTATTGTAAGAAGACCGCTAAAAAGTTGGATTATTAGTTTCCATTTTCAACCCTATTTATTATATTACAACGCCAATAATATTTCAACCCTATTTATTATATCACTGCCTAAACTAGTATCCGATGGACCATTGCCCTAATCTCCTTCTAAATTCATTCGCTCGATCTGTCGCAAACGTTCTGAGATAATACAGTCGCTCAATCGTTCCTGAGAACTCAGTCGAATGTTTCTATCGCTCGATCAAAAAATTCCACCGGTAAGGGCCTCTGATGACCTCGGCCGGATGAGCAAATCTTGTTAGGCCGGTCTGACAGGATCACTACTCTTACTTTACTCATTTGAAACCTGACAGGATCGCTACTCTTACTTTACTCATATGAATCTAATTAATAAGTTTGCTCAAATGAAATATGAAGTGTTGACGATGCTCGAAAGTCGAATTACATGACGCTGAATTGGAGTTTTGTGAAGGGTTATGTCATTATGTGACAATAGTGACACTACGTATTATTATGATAGAAAGTTCTTTACAAATTAAAACCTATTTGAAATATGAAAACGTAACCTTAGATTTTAAAACGTAGTGTGTTTTCATATTTCTTCTTATTTCAAATGGGACAGGAAGAAAACGTAACCTTATAGTATTAATAAGCTGAAATAAAATGAAGGATTGTAATACCAATGACATCTGGAAAATGAGGTGTGAAAAAAGGAAGAATATTAATAGTTGAATTCGAATTCCATTTGGCCAAAAAGGTTGAGCAAAATGGGGTACATAACGTGTTCATGTCCCATTATTGTCTGCGTCCGGGCTATTTAGGCATAAAAAAGTTGAAAATAGATCTCAACTGTTTACCTGTCGACATCAAATGCTCATACTTTAGTCTATACTTTTTAACTAAACTAGTTGCGGGTAGTTGATAAGTTTAACTAAAAGTGCCTTTTTGATCTATTAGAGGGAACAAGATTGAATTCTAGGAGTGATATTACAAAACGAGAAAATTGTCAAAATGGGAGTAAAACATGAGGTAATTGCAAAACTAGGACTCATTGTTTTAAATTCTCTAAATAAGAGTAAATATTTGCATTTGGACGGAAATAGCCCCCGGTGC